TTTATTTTGGTTATTAAAGGAAAATGAAATACTTTTGGATATGTGGGAGTGTGTTGGGCTTGTAGGCATTTCGGCCTAGGTTGGGTTTTGGGAGAGAAGGGTCATGGTTCGGGCTTTAATGTGGGACGGGTCAATGAGTTCAACCCAAAATGGATCATACCACCTAGACATTAAACACTTGACTTGTTGTAACACTAGTGGCGTGTGTGAAGGTGCATCCCGGGGTATATCATCATCCCCTTCTTCAAAAGAGTTTGACCTCAAACTCGGAATATCTTCTGGCTCAAAGTAGGGACTGAGGTCGGCAATGTTGAACGTGGCGGAGACTCCATATTCTCCGGGTAGGTTGATCTTGTAGGCGTTGTCATTGATCTTTTCTTGTACTTCAAAGGGACCGTCTGCTCGTGGTAGTAGCTCAGACTCGCGTTTCGTGGGGAAACGCTCTTTTCTAAGGTGAATCCAAACTAAGTCTCCGGGTTTGAATTCGGCAGACTTCCTTCTCTTGTTGATGCGCGCACTCACTCTTTCATTGGTGGCTTCAATCTTCTCTCGTACCTTGGCATGAAGGTCTTGAATCTCTTTAGCTCGTTTCTCGGCTTCCGCACTGTATTTCTGCTTTATCATAATAGGATCAAGTTCAAGTGGGGTAAGGGGGTTTGAGCCATAAACAACCATGAATGGAGAAAATCCGGTTGTTTTGCTTGGTGTCCAGTTATATGCAAACTCCGCATGGGGCAGTAGTTCTTCCCATTGCTTTATATTCCTCTTGATAAGCACCCGTAGAAACGTACCGAGAGTTCGGTTTGTCACTTCTATTTGACCGTCGGTTTGAGGGTGGTGAGAGGTGCTAAACTTGAGCTTGGTTCCCATCTTTCTCCAAATTATCATCCAAAAATGGCTAAGGAACTTGCTATCTCGATCCGATACCATGCTTCGAGGAATTCCATGTAACTTGACGATCTCGCGGAAGTAAAGATCAGCGATTTGTGAAGCATCATGTGTGGTTAGACATGGCATGAAATGGGCCATCTTTGAAAACTGATCTACCACGACCATGATTGAGTCTTTCCCTCGTTGTGTCCTAGGCAGCCCCGTGATGAATTCGAGGCTAATATCTTCCCATGGTGCCGTGGGGATGGGGAGGGGAAGATATTTTCCTTGGGCTAATGAGTGGCTCTTGGCGGTTTGGCAAACAGCGCACCGTTTGATGTAGTGCTCCACGTCTCGTTCCATCTTTGGCCAATGGTAGTGTTCTCGCATAAGTATGTAGGTTTTCTCGATGCCAAAGTGACCAGCTAGTCCACCTCCATGCACTTCTTCAATGAGGGTCTCTCGAAGGCTGCATTTCGGAATGCACAATTGATTTCCTCGAAACAAATAACCATCTTTGATGAGGAACTCTCCATGGGGCCGCACAAGACACTTGGAGAATGTGTCTTTGAAGTCTTCGTCTTCCTTATATAGCTCCTGCAAAAATTCAAAACCAACAATTTTGGCACTAAGGGCCGTTAGTAATAGGTGTCTCCGGGAGAGGGCATCGGCTCCTTTGTTCAAGGTTCCGTTCTTGTGCTTTATGGTGAAGGTGAAGGTTTGTATGTATTCGACCCATTTAGCATGGTGGGGTCGAAGCTTGTGTTGTCCTTGAATATACTTCAAAGCCTCATGATCGGAGTGAAGTATGAACTCCTTGCTGACCAAGTAATGACGCCAATGTTCTAAGGACCGAACAAGAGCGTAGAACTCCTTATCATAAGTTGAATATCGCCTTCTCGTATCATTCAAATTCTCGCTGAAATAGGACACCGGGTGGCCTTCTTGGGAGAGGACAGCTCCTATCCCAACTCCAGATGCGTCGCACTCGACCTCGAACAATTTCTCAAAGCTTGGCAAGGCTAACACGGGGGCGTGTGTCAACCGTTCTTTGATGGTTTCGAAGGCTTGTTGAGCTCTCGGATTCCATTCATACTTCTGATTTTTGGTGAGGTCCTTGAGTGGTGCGGTGATGGTGCTAAAGTCTCGCACGAACCTTCGGTAGAATGATGCGAGGCAATGGAAATTCCGTACTTGCTGCATTGACGTGGGAATGGGCCAATCCCTTATGGCTTGCGTTTTCCTCTCGTCCACCTTGATGCCTTCACTTGAGATAAAATATCCCAAGAATTTAGTTTCTTGTGAGAAGAATTGGCTCTTCTCAAGGTTCCCATAAAGCTTCTCTTCATCCAATCTCTTAACCCCTAAGGTGAGGTGGTTAACGTGCTCTTCTTCACTCTTGCTATAGATCAATATATCGTCAATGTAGACCATGACAAAGTGACCTATATATGGCTTCAATACTTGATTCATCAATTGCATGAATGTGCTCGGGGCATTGGTCATCCCGAATGGCATAACCAACCATTCGTAGAGGCCAAACTTCGTTTTGAAGGCAGTCTTCCATTCGTCACCTTCGAAAATACGGATTTGGTGATAACCGCTTCTAAGATCAATCTTTGAGAAAACCTTCAAACCGTGAAATTCGTCCAGCATATCCTCGAGCCTAGGTATGGGGTACCTATATTTGATGGTGATCTTGTTAATGGCTCGGCTATCACAACACATTCTCCACGTACCATTTTTCTTTGGTACCAACAAAGCCGGGACAGCACAAGGACTTAGGCTTTCACGAACAAAGCCCTTTGTTAGTAACTCATCCACTTGACATTGGATCTCCTTTGTTTCTTCGAGATTCATTCTATAGGCTAGTTTGTTCGGTAAGGCAGCCCCGGGAATGAGGTCGATCTTGTGTTGGATATCACTTTTTGGGGGCAGGCCATGTGGTACATCTTCGGGGAAGACGTGGGCATATTGTTCAAGGATGGGGATGGCTAGAGGATAGGGCTGTTTGGGAGGGGCAGTGGGTTCGGCCATCTCAAGATCAAGGAGAATGAGGTCTTTGAATCCTTCATGTTCGTGGTGTTCGGATTGGAGTATAGTTGAGATGAGGGATGGAGGGGTGTTGTTGCTGGTTTGGGCCGTGGGTGAGGAAGGTGGGGGTAAGGGAGTGAGGGTAATTTTCTTCTTATTCATAAGGAATGAATAAGTGCTCAAGTAGCCATCATGCTGCACTTTGTTGTCAAACAACCAAGGACGTCCCAAAAGGACGTGGCATGCATCCATGGGAATGATGTCGCACCAAATGTCATCCTTGTAAGTCTTGCCAATGCTCAGCGAGATCAAGCACCTCGTATCAACACGTAATCCCTTGCCTTGGTTTAACCATTGAATGGTGTAAGGCTTAGGATGAGGGGACACCTTTAAGTGTAGTTTTTCCACCACTGTTTTGGAGGCAACATTAGAGCAGCTCCCACTATCGATGATTAACGAACACACCTTCTTTTGGATGGTACAACGGGTATGGAAGATGTTCTCCCGTTGTAATTGCTCTTCGGGGCATGGTATGGCACGTAAGGTCCTTCGGATGACCAAAAGTTCTCCGTCGTCGGGACCAGCGCATTCTTCTTCCTCTTCCTCGGCTACTTCTTCATCCCACACGGGATTGTACTCTTCATCATCATACTCAACCAAGGCCATTATTTTCTTGTTTGGGCACTCATTGGCGTAGTGACCAGTTCCTTGGCATCGGTAACAAACGGGGGCTCTTTTGTTGGTTGTAGGGGCTGTTTTAGGTGGGGGAGGAGTAGGGTTTGGCTTAGATGGAGTTTGGGGTTTGGGGGTTTGGCCGTGGGCAGTAGGGGTGACTTTGGATGAGGTGTATGTGGGGCGTGAGTAAGGGGGAGGGTTTCTTGAGAGGATGGCTTTGGATTTCTTCATTTGAGCCTCAACTTTGAGAGCCAACTTAGTAAGCTCTTCAAAAGTTGTGTAGCTTTGCAGCTCCACCGTATTGGCTATTTGAGTGTTTAATCCGAAAAGGTACCTCACAAAGGTTTGCTCCTCGTTTTCTTGCAAGTCACACCTTAGCAAGAGCTCTTCGAATTCCCGAGTATAATCCTCCACTGATTTCGCACCTTGCCTAAGCGTTTGAAGCTTAGAAAAGTTGTCTCGTGAGTATTCGGTGGGCAGGAACTTCTTCTTCAAAAGACTCCTCATCTTTTGCCAAGAATCAACGGGGGGCTTCTCACTTCGAACTCGTTTGGTGGTGGTATTCGTCCACCAAGTAGAGGCATACTTTCGGAACTTTAAGGCCATGATCTTGACCTTCTTCTCATCGGAGATTTCCTTAAAATCAAAGACTCGTTCCACCGTTTCTAACCACTCAAGAAATTCATCCGGATCATTCTTTCCTTCAGAGATTGGAATATCAACTTTGAAGTCAGAATGAAACTTTTCATGAGCCCTAGCTCTCATGGTGGCACTAGAGCGAGCTTCCTCTTCATCTTCACTATCTCGTAGCATGGACATCTTTTGCTTTGTGAGCTTAGCCACTTCTTTGGCTAGGTATTCCACTTGAGCTTGCAAGGCAGCGTTTGCGGCTACGAGTTCTTCATGAGACATGCTTCGGGATTGGTTTGACATGGTTGATAGGAAAAGGGATGAAGTGGGAGTAGGGATTGAATGTGGTTAGGCCAAATTTAGGGAGGGAGTTGGGGAAGTGTGTATGGTCCTTGAGAGATGAGCAACAACTAGCTTTGATACCAAATGATGTACCCAAGCTTAGGAAAAACTATGGATAAATAAGGGCAGATTATAGAGGGGAATATATGGTGAAGAATAGGTTGGATTTGTGTATGAAATGGTGAAGAAAGTATGGTTGTTTGGAAGAGGTGATAGGGCAGAATGAAGGGCAGGAGAAAAGCAATATTATGGAGTGGTTTTTTGATGAAGAAATGAAGTGTTTAAATGAGATAAAGGGGGTGGACGAAATTGGGAGAGAAAGAGGGAGTTCTTTTGTGGTTTTTGTTGTATAAGGATAAACAAAATAATAAATAAGAGATAAACACACTCTTATTTTATTTGTGGTTGTTTCTTCTCACACAATAATATTCACTATTATTATATGAAATAGACTCCTAACACACTCAAAAGTAGCCAATTTTAGAGATATTTCATTAGAAAATTGAGAGAATTAGCTTCACACCAACTCAAATATTACTTCAAAGAGTAAAGAAATGGAATACAATGAATGAGTTTTACAAGGCCATANGGCCGAAATATATAGGGAAAACAGCAAGGAAACTTCACCACTCTTTCCTACAATTCAAGTGCATAATGTCTATTTGATGGATCCCATAGGTTGTCCTCATTGATCAAGGCTAAAAGGGGCTCATGTTGGTGAAATGGGCTGTCTTTGGGTGGGGAAATTCGGCCATGTGAAGGGTAGGGTCAGGGAGTGTGTCATTTTGTCCATTTATGCAAAGTAAGGTAGGTGACACATCAAGGGATTGGTTGTTTATTCCTTTGGCCTTATTATAGGTTTGAGAAGTGATTTGGGGGATGTTTGGGGGGAGGAATTCTGCCATGGGACAAGGAAAGTGAGGGGGGATGGTTTTGAATGATTTTCACACCAAGACAAAAGACATGTTTAATCCTTGTCTCCTGATTTGGTCTTTTGTGTTTTGTAATGGATTGGGATGAATGGAGATGGATTCTAAGGCCAAAAGGGAATGTATTTTTGTGGGTTTGAAGTAGGGAAAGGTGGGGGAAGGTTTTATTCAAAGTAGGGAATATTAGGAAAGAAAATAGCACACACAAAGCAATTTTGTTTGTCCTTATCTCTTAGATTTTCAGCCATGGCTTCAAAGGGAGGTGAATGAATTTATTTTGGTTATTAAAGGAAAATGAAATACTTTTGGATATGTGGGAGTGTGTTGGGCTTGTAGGCATTTCGGCCTAGGTTGGGTTTTGGGAGAGAAGGGTCATGGTTCGGGCTTTAATGTGGGACGGGTCAATGAGTTCAACCCAAAATGGATCATACCACCTAGACATTAAACACTTGACTTGTTGTAACACTAGTGGCGTGTGTGAAGGTGCATCCCGGGGTATATCAAACTGGCAAGAGTGGAGAGCCAGGCAACGTCGTTGGCGAATGAAACCCTGCGGAGAAGAAATAGAATAGAGGCGAAGAAGAAGGCCGGAAGCCTGCGAAGAAAAGGAGAATGGTGGCGATGGAACGCATTGCGAAGATCCCAAATAAAAATAAAAAATACTCCCTCCTTCCCTAAATAAACTTCCCCAGAAGTTTATTTGTCCCCAAATAAACTTCTTTTTTTCCTTTAAAAAACCACTTTTACCCCTTACTTTTTCATACCCTATCTATCACATCATACCTTTTTACTAATAATCTACCTATCACATACTCCCTTCATCCCTAAATATTTGCCACACTTGTATCCCCGAAGCAAAATATCAAGTTTTTTCAATTCATTTTATTTACATATTGGTATAGAAATAAAAAATAAAATTTACATATAAAAAAACTACATGAAAAGTTCTTCAAAATAAGAGGTGTCAAGAATATTTAATTTTATCAAATAACCAATGAAAACATAAAAATAAACAAAAGTTCCCGCGACTGCTGAAAAAGCAAACGTTGCAAATAATTTGGGACGGAGGGAGTATTACTTTTACACATCACATCAAGGGTATTTTTGGAAAGTCAACCCAAAAATATTCCTCCCTTAAATCCTCAAAAAGTCAAAAATGGAACTTTATTTTGGGACGGAGGGAGTATAGTATTAGCATGGCCTATTTGAAATGACCGATGCAATTCATCTGTTAATTCAAAAAACCGATGTTAATACTAATTTTTATTTTTCAAAATTAAAAAAAATAATAACAATGGCATCGGTTATTTGAAATAATCAATGTTCTTGACTTTTTGCATCAGTTTTTTCAATAATCGATGCAATTGAAGCAGTCTTTTTGTACTTTTTTGTAGTAGTGAGCTAAAGATCGGACGACGACGCCATGAGAACCGGTGGGCGGTCGACCAGCGACAGTTAGGCCTATCAATGGGTCGGGTTCGGGCCGGTCCATAGTGTTCTATATCCGTACTTGTTTTAAAAAAAATGATCCTGACCCGTACCTGCTACCCGATGGGTCTTGAAATTTAATCCTATATTCGGATTCCTTAGGGTCTCAGTATTGGGTCGGGTGTACCCATGATAAAAGTTATTACTTTTTATTTTTCTATTATTGAAAAACAATTAGTGAAAATACTATGAACGAAAAATGATTTAATTGAATACAAATAAAAATAAGACTAATACATAATTGCAACAAAAATTGGTTCTCTTTACCGAAATCTACAACAAAAAATTTAGCTTCATAATTGATCTTTTTGTCACATTCAGTCATGTTCCAAGAATGTTCTTTATAACATTATAGCTAATTTCGAACTATTTATTTTATGCTACTGCATAGCATAAATCAACATGTACATGCCTCTATTGTAATGAAATAAATACAAATAGATTTGGAAGACACGCAACTAGAAAGAAGATAAGTAGTGAAGAAGAATAGTCGGGTTTTGTAATATTTAATATTATCCACGTAGTAAGTATTTAACTGGTACGAGTTTTAAACGAGTCGAGACTACTCGTCCCATACTCGACCTTTTTTTAAAAAAAATAACGGGTTGGGGTACGAGTAAACGGTATTTTTTATACTCCTAAACCCGCCAAAAATTACGGATTTTATACGAGTTCGGGTCTATACCCGACCCATTGACAGACCTAACGGCAGTGATAGGTGGACCGGCGAGAAGCACGGTCGAAAAAAAGGTAATTAGAGTTTGGGAGACGTTTGCTCCGATACAATGATACAATTTGATAATAATTGGTCTTATTGAATAATAAAGGATACATCTCTATATAGGAATTACATGAGAGAGCTCTAGTCATAGTAGGAGAACTATGGTAACAATAAAATAAGGAAGTAATATAATAAAGAAAGCAATAAATAATAATATTCTATTTCCTAATACATTTAATATTCCTAATAATTCTCACGTAGGGGCAATCTTTTAACTTTAAAAATTCAACGAATTGTCTTTCATAGGCAATCTTGACGGTGAATTTACCTATGGCTCGATAGGTGTACCGGGAAGGTTTTAAACTAGGACCGAAAGTTACTACTTTGTATCATATATTCTCTCTGTTCTAAAACCTTATTCTCAGTTATTGTTTTAAAAAAATCAACCTAAACAGAAATAAATTATATAGAGAAAATACTAAAATAAGAATTTCATACTTTTATTCCCTAAATAAGAATTCGCATTGAGTAATGTGGCATTGTAGATGAATATTTTACTATATTTTTTTGTAATGTACATGGTCATAGTATAATTGGTAATGTAAATGCATTTTAACTTATATTTTGGGAAAAAAAATAAAACTCCTATATTGTATATTTTCAATATTTACTCCTAGTTTTAATGTTTTACTCCGATCTTAGTCATTTTTTTTACCTATTTTTACTAGTCATTTAATAAAATAATATGATCATGTCACCTCTTGTTTTGTACTTCCTCCGTTCCAAATTATAATGCCTATTTACTATTCACAGGATCAAACTTCATTCACTTTCTTTCTCTATTTTCGTTAACAATTTGATAAAATAAAATATTATTGTCACTAGTTTTGTAGATCTTTTGATATAGTTTTTTAATATATAATTTTTATTTTTTAATTCTATACCATTTTTCATATAAAATGGTTTGAAAATAATTTCAGTCAAACATCGTAAACCGAAACAGACGTTATAAAATGGGACGGAGGTAGTAGAATTTTTGATGATGTTTTTAAATATATAAATTTCTTTTTAAATTTTATACCTATAATCAAATAAATTAAATTAAAAATAACTTCAACCAAATCTTGTAAACCGAAACGGAAAGAATGTTTTAAGGCGTTGGGAGTAAATCGTCATTATAAAATGTCACAAAATCCTCCTCTCTTTTTCTTTTCTCTCATGCTCTCATCAAGACATCAACCAAACAGAGCAGTAAGGATTTGAAAAAAAATTAGATATTTAATCACAATTTTTATGGCAAGTGTTAGGTACTCATATACGTAGTACATCATTGATAAAATAAACGCACATCACACACGAGAAAACTCTAGTCTATTTACAGATGAATGGACTACAAAGCTACATCAATCTATCCCTACCATCATCACATTTACAACGAATTAGCACCTTATAACTACGTCCAGCTCAGCCCTTTTGTTCAAGAATTATAAGACAGAGCAAAAAGTGAGTATGTATAAACTAGTAAGCAAAAAGTGAGTATAATTTAGTCTTTACCTTTTATAACTACGTCGCTCAACCCTGTCTGTTACCCTTCGCACAGTGCTTGTATCAGCCAAGGAAAACTGAGTATTACTTTAGATGGAGTTGTATTTGGCAATGGCTCTCAAACACGTTTCTAATACGTACTGCGCTAAGCCAAAACCATATCAAGGTAAATATTTGCTATACTACAAGCACACCTCATTCTTCATCATCAGAACTTGAACTTGAACTATCATCGACCCTTCTTCTTTCACTGATTCCAGGATGAAGCTTTTCTTGAAGATCATGAGACGAAAGTGATTCTGAAGGGGCAACATCGGGCTTTGTATATCTATTATTAGTTTTAATCTGGGTAGCTCTTACCTCCGTGCATACCTTATCGAGTATCACCAAAAAATCGCGAACTATAACAAACAAACGCAAACCTTCATCCCTCCCTGCATTTCCATGGAAGTAATCGCCAGTGCTCTTCACTAGAGACATGATGAGCTTCTCTTGTTCAAGTAACTCCTTCACTTCCCCCTCGGCGCTCTGCATAAAATTCTCTAGTGTCTCAAGAAACCCATCTTCATTGTCATCCAAATTCTTCATTTCTGAACTTAGAAATTTCTTGGCGTTCAGTACTGCATCCGCAAGCTTAGCAACTGTTCCTGTTAAGTTATCTGCGTCTATGAGTGCAGCTCTCTTGACATGCTCAAGCTCGCTGCCCAGACCTGACACGACATCTAGACCAAGACTGAGAATATGCTCTTCTGAATCTTGTGGAGAATCTAGTGAGAGATCATCAGACTTGATGCTTGATATGCTCCTCAGTTCCCTGGATGCACAGGCAGCCCGTAAACCTTCCAACCGGATTATCTCCCGAACAACAAAGTGCAGAAGGGTTGTCTTCCCATCCTTTCCCTTCACATCAGATAGCTTTAGAAGCGTGTCAAGTTTGAAAGCTTGTGCACCACCACGGTATGTTCCAGAATTCATTCGATTCCCAGTTTTCAGAACGGCCTCAAGGAGTTTAAGGAACAGCCTACTTTTCCGGAGTTTGGTGCACGCAGCCTGGATAAACACAATAAATGTAAAAAAATTTAAAAACTAAATACAACAAACCCAGTACAATCCCAACTCCATTGGAGTCTAGGCGATCAAGATGTACACAACCTTAGCCCTCTAAACACAGAGAGGTTATCACGTGAGACCCTAGACGTATTGTTGCATATAGTGCCCAAAACATCATAGAAAGTTAAATTTAAGTACATAAATTTTAACACTCTTAATTCTTCAGTGCAAAATAGACCACTGATATGAGAGCCTTGTAGATATGAACATTTAAGAATGGTGGGCTTTCACATGTCTAGAGGCGTTACACAGCTGGACAGTAAGATGATAGGTGTAGTGGTGTACCATCACATTTTGGTTTTAATATTTGATAGAAGAACAATGTGTGGAAGATATCTGACAGAAAACATTTGCAAAGGGATGGAAAGGCAGTCATATCAAAGAGAGAGAAAGATAAAGGCCCTCCAAGACTAGGAAGATCAGATAAATCACAAATAAGAATGCCTACTAGGCAATTGTGATAGGAGACAGAAAAGATCAACAAATGATGTCACCATAAATGCACGGGAGTGGAGATTGGAGAACTTGTGTCTTGTGTTCACGACTGTCACGCATGTCCCTCTACTCTTCTTTATTGTGTTTCTAGTTAGTAGCAGCTTAAACTATAAATTTTGAACAGCAGAAGGGTTCCCTTTTCTAGTGGAATGTAATCAAAGGAAAAATGGGAAATTTTAGCTGCCCAGCAACCAAGTCCCATGTGGAAATAAGAAGGGTCTCAGTGGAGATCCCCAAGTAATTCGTAAAGGGTAAACAAATTACATGTTTTTTTCAAATTATTTGTTCCCCTATGTATGGCTCCTGGATGACCAGATGGTTAGCATATTTTGTCCTTGACTCCACTTCATATCAACAGCAGATTGAACGGTATCATGAAATCAATACCTACCTCTAAGGTTTCAAATGACTCTTTAACCATTGTTGCATCCTCCTGAAGAGTGCACATAAAATGCAATGTTTCAAGCCTCTTATATGCAAATGGAATGTCCACTAAGACCTTCAAAAACCGTTCTGCAAATCCAAGTTGTAAAGGGTCACCATTATAGAGCCTCAGCTTCAACTCCTCATCAGCAGTTGGTGCCATCTTCAGCAAAGTCTGGAGTAGCTCTGCTGGAAGCTCATTTCCTGGTTAAATACAAAAGGTTAGAGTAATAGACTAGTGAAGTCAGCAACATAGAACACAGCAGAAGCCTCAACTACAAGTTTAACGATCGCAAATAAATTTGAAATCGGTTGTGTGATATTCATGCAGTTGTAGGAGTTGACCCTCGGAACCCACATGGAAACAAAAAAAAAGTTAATTAGATCTTGTTTTCTGAAAGCTAACATTCTTGAATTACAAGATGAAGTTAACAAAATGAAATCTTGATTTGTTTGCTAAACCTATGACACTTAATGATAATTGCTATATATTTGAGAACTGTACACCCCTGTATCTTCTTTACATTGAATGATAGTAAGTTGTAACCTTAGTAACTTTCAATGTAATTAATAATATCTACTTCATCCGCACTACCAAGAAGGCCATCTCCCGATTTTCATACTAAATAGAAACAATCATTACAGGATAAATTATTTCTTGGAACATTGTTAAATAGACACGATATAGTAGCACCTTCTTTAAGAGCATCACAAACTTCTTCTGTAGTCACATTCAAAGCTTTTAAGAGAATTGACAAGTTCTGTGCCTTCTTATGATCAATAATTTGAATATATTGAGTTGAAGCATCTGAGGGATCTTTCTTTGTTCCATTCTTGTTTTTATCTTGAGCAGCATAACCAAACAATGTCTCTATCATCTCTTCATTAAACCTATGAGAAAACATAGACGCACACACATTGGCATTGAGTACATTAGAACCTGAATGAATTTTCAACATGTGCAAAGTTGACTACCATAAACATACTCACTGGAACGATCCTGATTTTATCTGATGCCAAACCATAGAATTATCAGGGTTGGCCAGAACCTTGTCCCAAAAGAAAGGCTTCAGCTTAGTTTTATGACCATCATCTTCATAATTTTGTCCAGCGGGTGCCCGAGGAGGCCTCATTCCATTTATAGGGGCGGGGATAGCGGAACATGGAGGCGGAACACCACTCCCTGGAGGTGGCGGGGGACGAGGACCAGCTTTGGCACCACAACGTATTCCTGGTGGAGGTGGTCCGGGTGGGGGAGGAGGTCGTCCACCAAAAGATGGCCCTCGAGGAGGAGGAGGAGGAGGTGCAGCTTTAGGTGGAGGAGGGGGTGGAGGGGTTGGTGCTAGGGGAGCTATAGTGACAGGAGGAGGTGGCAGAACTACCCTACCAGGTGGCGGCTTCAAGGGAGGCAATCCAGCTATGCCAGACTTTCCAGATTCTACCAGAACAGAACCATCTATCACTGTGGCAGGGGACAAACCATGTCCCACTGGAATCTCTATTCTAGAGTTACTGAGTGTGTGTGGTTCCATGAATAAATTACAGCTCATTTTATCATGGAAGTTGTCGTCGAATGCACTCTTTCTGTTATTTAATGAGCTATCCAAAGAGAACGACTTCTGTGAGGATGCTGAAACATTGAAGGCAGAGAGAGATCAGTAGAACAGAAATCAAGTCAGTAAGAAAACAGGAAGTGACGAACGAAATTTGAATTTACCTACAGAATGGTCACTTAAGCTTAAGCTCAGGAGGGGCCTCTTATCAGTCTGCCCATTTCCGGATCCACTCCTACGAATCTTAATACAGCATATAGACAGCAAAACAACAATAACAAATGTCGCTCCAGCAGGCACGGCTACAGAAGCACTACTTGGTTTTTTACTTTTACCAATTTTCTTGATTGATGATGCTTTTGCAGTTGAGTTTAAACTTATTTTAGAATGTTTAACACTTGCATCACCGAGTTTCCGTGGAACAAAAGGCTGCACTGGAGGACTAGCGTGCAATTTTTTTTCTTCAAAGGTTTGAGTCAACACTTGTTGTTTACGAACACAATTAGGCCTAGCGTATAAGAAGTCGAAGCACCTGCTATACCAAGGTCTTGAAACACTTTCCTCTCCATAGACAATAAACATGAGATTTTTCTTCCTTAAGCAATCCAGAAGGGGTTGTTCGACCAATGGGTGTAAGGTATTTGAAAATTTTTGCATTTCTCTCATAGATGGTTTGCCATTAGAAACTACTCCCATGCTCCATTTATACTTACGTACTTGGACATTAAACTCAAAATCTTCTACAGCTTTCTTGGCATGGAACAACTCTATCCTACAGTTTAACCATATTAGCTCAGCCTGCAACAAAAAACACTTTCATCAAATAAAGATGCATTTCATATGTTCCACTTCCTTATTTTTAGTTCAAAATGCATTCTGAGCTTAACGGAAAATCTAACCCTTAGGCCCCTCAAGGACTTACACTATCAAATTCCATTTTTTCTTAGCTGCAGTCTAAATTTACAGTCTACTGTACGTTTCTTTGCTGAAGTCTACTGAGTACTGACAGTATACTGAAAAACTTTCTTATATGTTCTCTTTATACTTATCTTCTTGGACATTAAATTCAAAGTCTTCGACTGCTTTCTTGGCATGGATCAACTCTATCCCACAGTTTAACCATAATACTATATTAGCTCAGCCTGCAGCATAAAAGCATTCATCAAGCATGCATGCATTCCATATATCCTACTTCCTTATTGTTCAGTACTTCAGTTCATAATACAGTCTGAACTTAACCATAAAACTAAGTTATCTAAGCCATAGGTCTCTTAAGGTCTCAACTTACAAAATCAAATTCCATATTTCTTAGCTGCAGTCTACATTGACGAACTATAAACTGAATTTAGTTGAATGTAACTTAAGTCGATTAAAACTGATAAGTGTTGAATTTAACTAGAACTGGTGCATAACTGAAATAGTGTATTAACCCTTAAGAACTGGCATTACTTTACCAACTCCTCGTCATTATTATCTACAATTTAATCCCAACAAATTGAGCTCAGTGGTGCCTAAAAAACGCATGTTTTTTCCGCTAGGATCTTGTTTCTTAATCAGGACCTCAAATGCTTCAAAATGAGAAACGTCTAAAATGCAGCAACAGAATAAAATGCATTTGATATTTTCATGACATTCTTTTATACACTACAAAAACAAAACCTTGAGAAATTAAAAAGTAGGGGCAGATGTGGAGACAAACCAACTGAGCCTTGGATTCATCCAAGTAAAATAATAATAGCATTACAACAAAGCTGATGCATTACGCTCTAGAGAAAAGCATTCTTCTACGTCATCCCAACAAGAGAGGAGCAGAGCATGCTGGTTTAACATGTCATGCCATAGTGCCTTCAAGTAACCAGAGAGCATATGGTTTCCCGGTTTTATTTGGCCAAAGCATAATCCCACTTCTTTGTATGCTGTTCAGAAAGTTACTATGGTAAAACACAGGTCTGTTAACTATTGCCCAGCCACAACAGGGGTCAAATTGAGATTTCCTCCACCATGGGTACATAGATCCTAATAGAAGCCTATGCTTCGAGTTGGCTTATAACATAAGAAACTCTCCCTCACACTCATAATTTTACTAACAATTCTTTTGTATATTGTTGTTAGGTCTAGGTTCTCCCTTAAGTTCGTCCTTAAAGATTGCAATCTTTTTGTTTCTCTAAAGTAAACCATGCCCTATAGGTTTTTACCTGTCTGTACATTTACATATTATCATGTATTAATTCTTTTCTTACCCTTAAAGAACCCTAAATATATGTATTGAATTCCAATAGCCATATTATCAGCAGCAAACAAAAAGATGAAACTAACAACACGAAAGAACATGTTGAGGGTTGATAAAATCCTAACTTACTAGCTGTTTCTACTTGCTAGTTATGTTGCACAGATTCTTCAAAAAAGTGTCGTCTCTTGTCCCTGCAAACGTCCCCATTTGGTTACTTTGGGACGACAACCTAACCCTTTAACAATATTGAAAAATTAGTGTTTCCACATTTCCGACCCCATATCCGTATAAGTACCGTCCTCGTTTCCGTGCAACTTAGCTTGCTAGTTTATAACAATGATAAGTCAGTGTTGAAGTATGTAAGGGACCTCAATTGATCCACCATTTATCAGAAATCTAGAAAGTAGAGGTAACAAAATAATAATGATAACAACAACAACAACAAAAATAATACTTCATCCCAAAATTTTTACTTTCCTCTTAAGAACATCCCAATATAGAGTTTACATTACTTTCAAGAAAATTATTGAATGGTTCACATTATATTTCAACCATACTTTCGCATTTTCTTAAGAGTAAATTCTATAAATGATCCATCGTAAAAGTGGTTTTCCATATATAGTCACCAATTCAAAAATAATACATCCATGGTCCTTGATATTTGAAAACTATTCCATGATTAGTTCTATGGAGACTATATTTGGAAAACTATTCCTTGATCACTCCTTTAGGGACTATATTAGGAATATAATACTTGGGTTAAAAGATTTACTATGAAATGATTCTGAAATATAGAGAACCAGGAACGTTATATTTTAGAGTTGGGGACTATGTATGAAAACCTTATGTTATAAAAGATCATTTATGGAATTTACTCTTTCCTTAATTGTTGTGAAGAAACAAATCAAAAACTTGTTAGAAAGAGCTGTTTAAACAATATAAATTTCAAAAAAATGTGACGCAGCTTCCTACGGTTGATAAATCCGATTATAAATGCATCTTAACAAGATCAATCAGAAAAACGAGAACGTTGTATTCTCATGGCCCAAGTGTTACCTGTTCACGATTTATCAGTCCATATTTGATTAGACTGTCCAGTAAATCATCTTCTGTGATCTTCTTCTTCGCCTCACATGTTGCTCCCATACCAGAACAAACAAACATAGAAACGATACACAAAAGTCCTCTTCTGATATGCATTTGCTCTTGAATCATTAGAAAAATCAACTCCTAGACCTCCAGTTTGCACAAACTGAACCCCAAAATCTGAAAAGCATTCTCCCTGCTTGAGCGAAGAAAACATCAAGATTTTGAAGGAATAATCACCTATACGATGCACCGCTCAGAATAACTGGATTAAGAACTTATGCCATTCATAGTAATCCACGCGTATTATTCATCAATAAATCATAATGTGGAGTACAGGCGACTCCAAGAATCACCTAAGAGATCAACAGAAACACCTTTTCACAGGAAGAGCCACAATACGTAATAAACAATCATGAAATCTAGTGCTCAATTCAACTTGAAATGGCATACAAGGAAGAGAATAAAGCCAATGAATTGGATCGTTCAAAACCTGCCGAACCAAAGACGCAAGAATCATCATTTCCTAATCTAAATTCCTTCAGACAAGGTTTTGTGCATATCCAGATCGAGCAAGAAAATCCTCCGCAAGCATCATGATACATGAAATCAAACACGGATCGGATTGGGGTGGCGGTGGAGGGGTTTGAATAGGCGGGAGCTGACGTAAGGGAAATTATACGATGTAAAGTGTAATTTCTCTTCGGGCGGAGACGTCCCCCCCATATGGAAATTTCCGATCACAATTTGCGCCTAAGGGAAATCATAGCGCCACCTTTATTTTGGAACGTTACCCCAAACTAGTTAAAACTAGTTATAATCCTTTATTCTTTATTGGCCTCCTTTTGACAACAAAAGAAGTGGTACACTATGACAACAAAATTTACCATACTTAGTTCAAAAAATTAGATGTTTCTAATTTTCTTAAATTCTTGCTTCCCTCATTGTCCTCCTCCCACCTCAGCAGCCCCCTTCCCCCCCCNTTTGGAACGTTACCCCAAACTAGTTAAAACTAGTTATAATCCTTTATTCTTTATTGGCCTCCTTTTGACAACAAAAGAAGTGGTACACTATGACAACAAAATTTACCATACTTAGTTCAAAAAATTAGATGTTTCTAATTTTCTTAAATTCTTGCTTCCCTCATTGTCCTCCTCCCACCTCAGCAGCCCCCCTCCCCCCCCCCCCCCGCCTCCCCCACCCCAAATTGCTGATTGGCTACAGTGTTGAGGTGGAGAGGATAAAAATTATCAATTTTTTATACGGATCACCGTATGCCATTATTGTCATAATATGAAAACAACGACCATTGTCATAAAAAACCCACAAATTCTTTATAGACCAAATAGCACCGGTATTTCCCGTGGTTTGAAAAATAGGTACTAATACCCCCTAATTATCAAAACTCATTTATGAAGTTTTCGTGATTTCTAAACGTTGCATTTATACCATTCTAATGATTTTCTGACCATTTTTATGGTGAATAAGAAAGGTATTGGTACCTATTTTCCAAAGCATAGGGGCATCGATGTTCACTTCTTATTTTTTGTTTATTTCCTTTTTTAGTTTCTTTTATTAATCAAAGTTTTTTAAATATCTTTTTACAATGTTCTTAAAATTTTAAAATTATTTTTGTTTGAAAATAAAATAAACATATATTACATGTGTACGTCCCAAATTAATAGTTTATATTTTTTCTTTTATAAAATAAAAAATTAAAAACCAATTTTTAGAAAAAGTAAAAAAATGAATATTCTTATTAGAGATCTTGATTCTAAGGACTTTTTTTAGGTGTTTTAAAAATTCTTTTGTGTATATGACTCTTACTTAGATGTTTCAATTTTTTTGCATTTCGTTTTTTCATATGTTTATGTTTATTTTCTTTTTGAACTTATCACACACTTTTTGTTTAAAAAATCCATTTTATTATACTACAAATACGTTAAGGACCATAAAGTAAGCAAAAGAATTTGCCCAACAATTAACCTAAACGTGCCATGCATTAATAGCTTTAACTAGAAAAGCAATATCTTCATAAGTCGGTCAATGCACCTTTATAAACCACCTCTCTCCACCTTCTCGCCCACATTCAACAAGACCAAAAGCAATTTCAAAATCTTAATTGCCGATTCTCTCATACATTCTCTACCAGTTTTGTTATCAAGGTACCGTGGCCTTCGGCCTTATATATCGATTCTTGTTTTTGTCTCAGTTTAGTATTGAATTAAGTTTGCGGATTCGTGCCTTCCGCAAATACTTTTCTGTAATCGAATCCAAGGATCGGGTTTGAATTTTTTTTATTGAGATTTCTGTGAATACCACGGATCAATTTTAAATTTTTGATTGAGATTTCGTGGAATACGCGGATCAATTTTAAATTTTTTATTGAGATTTGCTGAATACCACGGATCGGTTTTGAATTTTTTGATTGAGATTTCTGTGAATGCCATGGATCAAATCTGAATTTTTGATTGAGATTTCTGTGAATGCCATGGATCAGTTCTGAAGTTTTGTTTGAGATTTCGGTGAATACCATGCATCAGTTTTGAATTTTTGATTGAGATTTCAGTGTTGCAATTTTGTGTTTTGAATCCTGCAGATGCAGATCTTCGTGAAAACCCTAACAGGAAAGACTATAACTCTCGAAGTCGAGAGCTCGGACACCATAGACAATGTCAAGGCTAAGATTCAAGACAAGGAGGGCATCCCTCCGGACCAGCAAAGGCTCATCTTTGCGGGGAAACAGCTCGAGGATGGGCGTACCTTGGCTGATTACAACATCCAGAAAGAGTCTACCCTCCACTTGGTGCTCCGTCTCAGGGGTGGGATGCAGATCTTTGTTAAAACCCTAACAGGAAAGACTATAACTCTTGAGGTTGAGAGCTCGGACACCATTGACAACGTCAAGGCCAAAATCCAGGACAAAGAAGGCATCCCTCCGGATCAGCAGAGACTGATCTTTGCTGGGAAGCAGCTTGAGGACGGCCGAACTTTAGCAGATTACAATATCCAGAAAGAATCTACCCTCCACTTAGTTCTGCGCTTGAGGGGTGGGATGCAGATTTTTGTCAAGACGCTCACGGGGAAGACAATAACCCTTGAAGTAGAGAGCTCGGACACTATCGATAATGTCAAGGCGAAGATTCAGGACAAAGAAGGAATCCCACCGGATCAGCAGAGACTCATCTTTGCTGGAAAGCAACTTGAGGATGGACGCACCCTTGCTGATTACAATATCCAGAAGGAGTCCACTTTGCATTTGGTGCTCAGGCTCAGAGGCGGGATGCAGATTTTCGTGAGGACATTGACTGGAAAAACCATTACTTTGGAGGTGGAAAGCTCCGACACTATTGATAATGTCAAGGCTAAGATTCAGGACAAGGAGGGGATACCACCCGATCAACAAAGGTTGATCTTTGCTGGAAAGCAGTTGGAAGATGGTAGGACTCTGGCTGATTACAATATCCAGAAAGAGTCTACCTTGCATCTTGTCCTCCGTCTCCGTGGTGGTGATTGTTGATTTGATCTAGAAGCCTATTTGCTTTCATGTTGGTTATGGATAATAAAATGTCACTTTAGTTAAAGTAATAATGATGTGCTGATTTGTTGCACAACTTTGTTCTGATCAGTTACTAGAGTATTATCATCATTTTTAGTACTCCATAAGATCTTGTGTTTGTTCTTTTTGCCGCATATCTACCAATAACTTTTCAAGTCCTTGATACTACTGCAAGAAATCGTTTTTATGGGCGACAACTTTTGGTGATTTTTGGTCACTGTATTTATCTAAAAAAATTCATTGTATTGCAAGTTTTTGGTCTGCAGTAAATTCCTTTGTTTCTTATATTGAAGTTTTTTGTGGCCTGTGGGGACAATTACACACCAGGGATTCCCTTCCCATCTCTTTTAACCTAAAAACTATCCTTCCCATGTTGAATAAGCATTTTCACAAAACCTTCCTTCGGCTGTATCCTAGTTAAGTGATTTTAAATGGTTTTCTAATGGTCTCTCATCCGTCTTCTTGTGTTCCAGAGGAAGGAAACATGAAGGCTATGTTTGGTTCAAAAAATTTGAAAGAGAAAAGAAATGAAAATGAAATGGAAAATAGTTTTTTTTGTTTGGTTAGACAGGAAAAGAAAGGAAAAGTGGAAGGAAAAAAAATGAGAAGGCAAAATGTACTAAGTGGAGGAAAAACCAAATTCTATTGAACCAAACATAGTGGAAAGGGGATGCTCCAAGAATCACAAGTTGAATGAGGTGCACCAAAGGTCTTTGCATTTAACATTTGGTGAACGATTTTAATAATATACACAACAACATCAAAGTAGAATAAATAATACGGAGTATTGCATTTAACATTTGGTCAATTCCAATATATGATATTGAAAGTGAACACAACAAAATCTTGTTAACTATAATTGTTTTGGAAGATTTTGTGGTATACAACATTCTTGGTGTAGTTCTAAATGTTATATTGTCATCTATAATTAATTGTCCTAGTAAAACATAAGACTATTGGGATTGGTCTTCTTTGAAACTTCAAGGGTAATATTGGATCTGATGGTACCAAATTCATTCGAGGTATGTAAACATTTTCTCTGACTTAAATTTCCAAAATCATAATTGCACTCATAACATTATTTCGAAGCACTTTTACAATTAACATTATAACATTACACAATACATATATTTAGTCAATGTTTTCTCTATAACATAATCGGTATCCTTTTTCCAAAATTATTTTTTCAAAATTATTTTGTGTTTCGGGATTTTCGAATATTTGATTTCATTAAAAAATCAAAGGTTACCCAATCACCATCAACACTTTTATCTGCATCTACTTGGCACGAAGACTTTATCGTGTATACATCATTTCCATTTTTTGTTACATTGATTTTGCATGTTAGGTCCAAAAAAGTACTTATTTGATCACTTTCATTACTCTTAGTCAAACTTTAATCACATAGTCAAACTTTAATCACTTTCATTACTCATTTTCAGTATTTATTTGATAAAATAAAATATTCATGGCATTTCATGCCACCTTATGTTTTATATAAATTTAATTTTTAAATATATAAATTTTAATTTTAAATTTAATACCAATTTTTATATAGAATGATCTAAAAACAATTTTAATCAAACATCATAAACGGAAACATACAATATAATTGGGACGGAGCTAATACCTATTTATATAAGATTGAGGTAGATGTCAAAAATTGATTGTTTTCAACTTTTCATAATTTTCAACTATTTTAGGATATAGTAATTACATTTGTAATTATTAATATTACAATGTTCAAAAAGGTAATGTCTAGAGAAGAAAAAGTTACTCCGTGATGTTTTCTACTCCATTAGTACGAAAATTTTCTTCCATTTGGCTCCTCGTGGTCAAAATTTTAAAACTTTGGCCTCGATAATCGAATAAATATATTTTGTTATACATAGTAATATAAATGTAATATTAATAGATCTATTTTGAAACGTAGTTTTGAAATATTAAATTTGTGTAAAACTTACCAATCAATAAATATTTATATTAATAGTCAGTGTTAGAACAAAGATCGTGAAAACTCCAGATATGTAACTAATCTCTTCATCTAAACACAAAGAGTTAGGATAAGTAACTCCAAAACACATAAGACTAACAATTTTTCCAACATCATTTTTGTCACTGAACAAATGAATTATAAATTTAGAAATGATATTCTTCAAATTGAATAATAAGATAGTTTATTATTAAATTATAGTGGCATATATAAATTATCTAATAATTATAACAAATAAAACATCTACTAATGAAAATCAACCATAAAAGCAATATACTCCAACTACGAAATTATATACGGAGTGCAAGGTTATTATTTTCTCTATCTTAATACTTGTCATCTTGGTGACGACTCATCTCCATTTCCAAAATGAGGCGGTATCTCTTGATACATTAAATCGATAATCTTTGCATAAGCAAATGCATCATAGGTGAACCTTGCAATGGCCTATGCATCATAGGTGAACTTAGTGTTCTCTATTTATTTTTGTTTATTTCTATTTCATTATATGTATGAAAGCAGGAATTCATTTTAATTTTCAAAAACAGAATCCCTTAAACTCTAAATTGGAGTTTCTTCCTGGTTAATTACTGAGTGAAGACAATGTGTAAGGATAGACTTTGTTTTATATGAACAATAATGGAATAGTTGTTTCCTACTCATAATACGAAATATAATTGCATAAATTAGTTGCATCACCGTGTTTTCTTTTTCTATCTTGTGCCAGTAACATTGAACTCAAAAAACAACTACTTTAAATTTAAAAATAGCGTACCACAACCATTTGATAAGCCAAACAGTCAATTTAAAAGTAATTCGATTCAGCACTTGCATGCTTTTTTTTGTTTCCCAAATGTAATCTAATTTGAATTCTGCAAGAACACATTTTGGATGATTGATGGAACAGTCAAACATTGAGAGAGTGAAACTAGAAAACCCATTACCAAATCGGCGAACCGAACAGCAAATGTGAACTCTATCAAAGTTGGAATGATGATATATATATAATCCCAAGAATTCAAAACATGGGCATACCAAATTCCTAAAATCTTTTCTGCACACCTTACAGTTAAGGAAAGAACAAAATCTGTGTAACAAAAAAATACCAAAACATTCTGCAAGGTATACCACCCTCAATGGTTAGCCTTGGCCACTCTCTCAATCTCATCCTTCTTGATAACATAACTGCACGAAGAACCCAAAAAAAACAAGCAAAGAATGAAATCATCCCTAAATGGTAGAAATTTAACGTTGACTAAGCTGCATTTACCTGTTAGAAGACCCTCTGGCAGCATTTATGAGCTCATCGGCAAGGCACTCTACTATTGTTTTAATGTTTCGAAAGGCGCTTTGGAGGGCACCTGATGTAAGCAGATATATTGCCTGATTGACACGGCGAAGAGGCGAATTATCAACAGCTTGACGCCTCACAACATCAGCAAAGCCAATACGAGTAGCATCTTCCCTTGGTCCATTGTTAAAAGCATTAAGTATTACTGTATTGAACTGTAACTCTTGATAAAACCAATTGGAATGACATGAGCTAAGTGAAATCTCAAGGAAACAAATGTAAAATGAAATACCACAGTAGCATTCATGTTTGGTTAATTGGAAAATAAAAAATTATCAAGTTTGGTTAAAGGTTATAAGATGTGTTTTATACATATAAATACTGTACAAATGATATGAGTTTGGACAAAAAAACCACACTTTATACCCAAAAGGTCCTTTCTAAAATTCTTGTTTTCTTCCGGTGTTTTCTTAAAAACAACCACACTTTATAGTTTGAAAAAATTAGGTGGATTTGGAATTGTTAATGCAAAAAATGAATTGGAATTGGTGAATTCAATTCTATGAAATTGAATCCAATGGAATTTCAATTTCAATTCCAATTCAATTTCAATCTCATCAATTCCGTATACCAAATTGACCCTAAACGTAAACGATTTGAAAAACATATTCAAAATTAGGCTTTCGGATGACAGACCTGAACATCCTTGTAGGTAAAGGGACTTAACAGCATGATGCCATTCAGAGAGTTTTCTTCTTGAGGAATCAGGGCGCCTACATCCATCTTCGATCTTCCTCACACACCCTTTTCCTTTCTCAGTTTTATTTACTTTGTTGGCTTAGTTTCGTATCTTATGTCATAAAATAATGTAGTCATGTTACCTTTAGTTTTGTAGATCTTTTCATGTAAATTTTAAATATCTAATTTTTATTTTTAATTCCATACTATTTTTCATACAAAATGGTTTTAAAATAACTTCAGTCAAACATCGTAACACGCAACAAAAACTTTATTATGGACGGAGTGAGTATAACTCGGCACAGGGATCTACTTTGATGGATTCATTTACACGCTTTTGGTTCAAGTAATTTCAAAGGAAAAGAAAAGGAAACGGTCTTCCTTCATTTTCTTCACTAAAATGGAAGAAATTTGGTTTTCTCTCTCCATAATATTTTGTCTTCTAATTTTTTTTCCTTCTACTTTTCTTTGTTTTCTCTCTAACCAAACAACAAAAATATTTTTCTTCTCATTTCCTTTTCCTTTCCCTCTCAAATTCCTTGAACCATACATAGTCTTAGGGCTTCAAATAAGGCTTCACAACTTTTGTTTCTCTCAGACTCTCACATCAGATTTAACTTACTTCACTTTTTTACTAGGAATGGGTTTAAACTTTGAAGCCCAGAGTTTTAAGCCGTGGCTTCAAACCTTTATTTTTTATATCTTAATACACATCTTCTAAAATTAAATTGAATAAAACTTCATTTTAATTAAATTTAAATGACAATAATTCATTAAATTAAAAAAATTGCATTCAATAAAAAAGAACATTTAATAAAAAATATACATTAATAAAAAAACTAAAACAAATTATATTTGGCCTTAATCTCTTTTTGTCTTCTCTCAAAAAGCATTTGTTTGAAGCTCGTTAACATATAAGGTTCGTTTCCATTATTTCGATCTCCTCCTTCTCTTACATTCGTTTCTCCCTCTCTTCTTCCCTAATATTGAACAAACAAAGTTGTTCAACCATCACCTGACTGATATCGTCATGAGGAGTCTTAGAGTCGGACCCTCCAGAATCCGAGACAATGGATTTTGCCTTCTTTCGATTGGCCGTCAAATGGGGTCCTCTTCGTCGGAGTCGTCTAGGTTGAAGGGAAGCCACTGTTCCGAAGATCCAATAGTCTCATCGGCCTCAACCTTGGCGGAGGATCTTTTCTTTGACGATCCTGCCTCGGGGTTGTTGATTTGTTTCCATTTCAGTGAACAGTTTAAAATTTTCCAAAGATCGACAAGGACTTTGCCTTGGTGTCCGTCGTTGTCTCGATACCGGGCGGTGACTTGTCGCAGAACATTGGCATCGTTCGTCCCGCTTTTCTGAGACCGAGAGCATTCCTCGTAAATTTCGATAAACTTTCAGACTTTACGGTTTATGTGGCCCCATTTGGAAGTGAGTTGGTCTCGGATTTGGTAGAAGCGTCCTTATTCATCGCCACAAAGAACTTCTCGGCGATACGATCCCAAATTGCATCCTTCGTTTGCTTGGAACCTTTAAGATATATACAATTGAATGAATTTTCTTTAATATACAAATATATAAAAAGGAACATATCTAGAATATATATTAAAAAACATGTAAATTTTACCAACGATAGAATGCTCAGAGACGTCAACCCAAGTAGACGCCAACAACGATTCTTCCTCCGGTGTCCATTTTTGAATGGAGCATGCTGCCTCGGTCATCGGCTTGTCGCCCTTCTATGAGTCTTCTGACATGCACTTTTTTTGGTGCACTTGGTTCTGGTTGAGTCTCCGGAACTGACTCCAGGTCCTAGAGATTTACCGAGGTTTGAGTATTGTACATCGACAGATTACTAGTGTATGATTAGAAAATCCATATCGTTTCCTCGTTTGTTCAAGACCGGACAAAGGAACGTTAAAATCGAAGGGATTCATGTTACAAATACTTGAATACTTTTTTGTAAGAAAGAGGAGAGAGATATTTGTATTTGTGGTGTGTGTTGAACTTTAAAAAATTAGATTGAATTTATAGAGGGAGGAGAAGAATTTTTTTAAAACCCTAACGACATTATAANGGGGGAGGGGGGGTTCCAATTGCCGAAATAGGCTTCCAACACGCGTCAAAGTTTTGACGCAGGAAAGATTACGGTGGGATAACGGGGTAGGGGGCGGTGTTTACACTGGGGGCGTTAAAATTAGAAAAACGCCCCCCGGTGTTACGAGTATTACCAGGGCTCTAATGTGAGAGTTGCAGCAACAAGTTCGGGATGGAATACATATTGTCTTAATTTGATGCAGCACCTCATCCATCTTAGTGCAGCCCTTCTCCTCCCATCTTCATGCCTTCAAATTATCTGATTATTGGTTCTGATCTAGTTCGATGAAGTTCTAATTTGGTGTAGTTGAAGTTACATTTAAGAGTTATTCTTCCGTGGTCCTAAGGGTCACATGTAAAATATGGACCTTCTCACACTTTTCATGAGTTGGGAAAATCTTTTCGTTTTTTGCCAAAGGTTCAATGCTTTTACGATATGAATGGATTAAGGTCCATAAAACAAACATAGCCTTTAGGACCACATAAGAAGTTGTGAACATTTACATTGTTTCTAATCTGATTTGATTTTAATAAGAACATGTAATAAGTAAAACGAATAAATTAAAGAGAATAAACTTTTACTCCCCCAGTCCCTCCAGGTTCATCAATTTATATAAATATTGATGTAACACCAAAATATAAAATTAAAATATTAAAAAATTAATTCAAAATATTTACAAAACAAATGATGAAAAAAGGTATTTTATTTTACCAAATAATCAATAAAAGTACCCTGAAAAACCAAGAGGGGCGGAGGGAGTGTCTCTCAATATCTTTAAGATAATAAAAATAATTGTTGATTTGATCTAATATGGTCTCATATGATACAATTTTAATAAGAATACAAAATAAATAAAATAAAATAAGAAAACGTGCCTTGTTTCTTCCTACGTCCTAAAAAGTCTACATTTGAATTTTGGAAAAAAAGATTGAAATATGAGTAAAGCATAAAAAAATACTAAAATAGGAGTTTCATGTTTTTATTCCTAAAATAGGATTTAAAATTCTTATAAAATGTCAATCGTGCCAATATATAATTTCAAAAACTATTGTTAAATATCAATATACAGTGTTACATTATCACAGTGTGAATTCCTATTTTAGGGATAAAAATATGGAGTTTTTATTTTGGTACATTCTCTATATTTTAGTCCTATTTAACATGATTTCTTTTGAATATTCTTAGTGAAAAGATTTACAAACTTTGATCTCAAATTAAGTGGAGTTATATTTATAAAACTCTTCATCTTCTTATTATCACTCTTAAACTAATATAGATTTCATCATTTTAAAATATGTTTTATTAATATCATAAATGTTGGATATATGAGCCTTAGAGGCCAATGTATGAGAGTATCTGAATATTTATCAAGAATAAAAGGTCCTAAAGATTGTTTATACATTTCGTGTATCTAAACATGTCTTTAGTCCATAGACTTAGTGCTCTGGTAGCATAGATTAGAACTACGATATTCTGATTATGAGGCTGTTACATTAATAAAGGCTATGTCTAAAATGTCCATAGTCGAATATTATGATAATATGGATGTCATACTATATTAAAACTAATACGTATGAAACAAGATAGCTGCATCTCATAGGTTATGGATATTGTGATATCTCAATCGATACGTAGGTACATATCTATGATATGATACTGGACTAACCCACCATTAGAATACTACATGGGTATTATTTTAAGTGTGTTAGTAGTATTCTCATTCGACCATTGGTATAACTATCCTTAGACTTGAGGTCATTATGATCTTTAATATGTTGACCTATATGCTTTGATTCATATCTAATGTCATCTAAAATACTGGTGGGTGTACAGTTACGTTTTGGGTATATAGTTAAACATATGTAAAGACATGAATGACGTAGAAAAAATTTATCCCTTCCATTGTGATGAAGTGTAATTTCTTCGGGCCCACTGATTAATATGACTTGGGAAGTGTATGGCCATACCCAAATAAATTAATGTATGTGGTATTTATGTTATTTGAATCCCACAAGTCATTCTGAGAATCAGTAAACCAATGATTTAACTCTAACAAAGTTACATTTCCCATACCTTGTGTTACATCTAGACATTAGTGATAAAAGGATAAGAGTTATACAAATGAGATGTGTCGTTGGAGGTATTGTTTCAATTAACTTTATGTTTATAACATGGGTAGCGATAATGTGTTGCTGGATACCGCTTATCGTTTATAGTATTAATTGTGATTAATACTATTGCCATCGTTATGAATACCTAGAAGGGTCACACACATAAAATAATTGAAAGGAGTAGAAAATTAAATGGAATGATGTAAAATAATATAGGACGTGTGACATACATATTAAATAAATTTGTTGGCATTTAATTATGTGATAATTAAGTTTGTCAAATATTATGTGTGAAATAAAATATAAATAAATAAATAAATAAATAAATATATATATATATATATATATATATATATATTCAATAATATGAATACCTATTGTTAAATATATATTTAATATTTATTTTTTATTAATTATATGATAATTAAAGTTGAAAAAATAAATTATTATATTTTATGGGGGCCAAAAATTAAAAGGAAAAAGGAGAAGAAGAGTTTGACTCTATCTTTAATTCCTTAATAGTTATCTAATATGATTAGATAACTAAACTAAATCCTTGAAAATTAAGAGATGGTCTCCATATAAAACACACAGAACTACATGCCACTTAGGAGCTCTCAATATTCTCCTTGGCCGAAAATCACAAAGAAGAAAGAAAAAATATATTTGATATTTTTTGCTTCATCATTCCTAATAATATTCTATATTATAGTAATATTCTAGGAATAATTTCTTAGCATAAATTCATCTTAGAAGATCGTTCGTTGTTCGTGTGGACGCGCTAGAGGTTGGATTCTTTTGTGACTGGTTCGTTGCACCAATCCCTTCACCTACATCGTCCGATCTGTTTTCTACGAGAAAATGCATTTTTTTAACAATAATTTATAGTTTTCGT